AACAACAAAAATGACTAGCAAGCAGATGGATATTATCTGCCTGTTTATATTGAAGTTTCTCATAAATAATGTTTATGCATCTACTAATAGAGAAGAACATTATTTATTTTACTTTTACTTTACTTTAGTTGGACGGATCGGATGGTTGGACAGAGTCATCGAAGCTACCAACATAAATTTGACCAAACTCCAGGAGGCAGTGGAAGACAGGAGGGCCTGGTGTGCTCTGGTCCACGGGGTCATGAAGAGTCAGACATGACTTAACGACTAAACAACAACAAAAATGACTAGCAAGCAGATGGATATCATCTGCCTGTTTATATTGAAGTTTTTTAAAAACACCCAGCGAGGGAGCCAGGTGGATTTCCGTTGGGAGAGTGTTCCACAGCCGAGGGGCCACTGCCGAGAAGGCTCGGTTTCTTGTTCTTTCCTTCCGGACCTCTCTCGGTGCAAGGCCCCTCAGCCATCCCTGCTGGCTTTGTCGAGTGATTCGGGTAGACCTGGGTGGGAGAAGGCGATCTGCCAGATATCGAGGTCCCAAACCGTTTAGGGCTTTATACGTCATCATTAATACTTTGAAATCGATGTGTAAACGAATGGGTAACTAGTGCAAAGCAGTCAGGGTGGGGGAGATATGCTGATATTTCCTCACCCCACTAAGGAGCCTGGCTGCCGCATTTTGCACCATTTGAAGTTTCTGCATCAGGTCAGATAATTATGCAAGGTCATTATGTATTATGCCACACAAAATCATATGCTATGCAAGATAGGGATATTTTGATTAACAGCAGGTATCATAGAAGAATTGTTTAGAAACTGCTGCTGCACAATCACCTTAGTGTCAACTATAGTATAATGTCGACAGAAATTAGCATTGCAAGTTGGTAAGCTAGTACTGACAAGACAGTATTGCAAGTAGATGTTCAATGTGTTGATGGAAGAAAACCATATAAATGCAACCCATTTCAGAAAGGAAGAGGAGAGAAATTGCTAACATGGTAAATTCATGACTTTTTTTCTGTTAGGGTAATTTTTGGGGTAAAAGAACCTCTTTTTGCATATCAAATTAGAAAATGTTTAATCCAATATAATTATTACAGTATTATTTAAATGTTATATTTTTATATGTATATTATTTTACATTCTTTAGCTTTTAGAATGTGGTTTAATATATTTTGCTAACTGAACTTTTTTGCCTTTTTGGAATGACGCATTCCTTGTATGCAAAATATAAACTACGGTAAATAAATGTAATATAGTATCAGCTTGGCTGGTTTACTTTTCTATTCAGAAATAGTATACTAAAACAAGAAATTGTCTGAGGAGAGAACTATTTCACCATAACTAATATATCTTCTACCTAGATAAAACACTTATGCATATATATTTAAATAAGCTTTTCAAGTGTTAAGATCTGAGTTCCTTGCACACAAGAAAAACCTTCCTTCATGAAGAGGAAAGTCTGCCATAAAGCAGCACAGCAACCGAAACTCAACAGTGTCCTCTAACAAAAATCTCACTTTAGATCACCATGGATTGATGGAATTTTAACTCCATGAATTGACCACCTTTGTTTGTTTTAAAACTAAAAAAAAGCTTTATGTATGTTAATAAGGGAAAATATGTCAACAATTTGAATTTCTCTTCTGGGAAATAGGGAAAAAAACACAAATACAGTAGTAAATTTAAAATGTAGCAATCGTGACGTTATCTATACATCTGAACATACTTCCTAAAAGGTAAGTACCTATAAAAGCAATGAAATATAGTTCAGAGTAGAGACATTTAGGCTCAAAGAGTCAGCCAACTTTTTATTACTATAATTATGCCTATTTTCATTAGAGGTTAAATGATCATTTAGGTGACTTTCCCCATACCTGCACTAATTAGTCATTCTGCTTGTATAAACAGTAGCACCTTAAGGGAACACATAAAATTAGGTTAATATAAGGCTTGTTCATAGTGTTCCTTATTTTATTTGGAGTTTTACTGTTCATATCTTCTGAGCTACTAACCTGAACCTGGGGCACAGCAATGTATTTAATCTCCAGCATCAGAGACACAATGCCTCTGTATACCTGTTGCTGGGACACGCAAGCAAAAGGGTGTTGTTGCGCTTATGTCCTGCTGACAGACTGTCCACTGGCATCAGTTCGAGAATAATGCAAACAGAAGACTGTTCAACAAGATAGGTCTTTGCTCTTGTCCAACATGACTGTTTTTAGGAATGTTTTCAATCCAGAGAATTTTTTTAAAAAATCATGCCTATACTTCCTGTATGTGGATCTGTGTGTACATAGATACAAAATCACAATCACTGTGAAACAGAAAAGCTATTAGATATAATGACTTACTGTGTTTTTTCTTCTGCGTCTTGTGGAGGACCCTTCCAATAATCAGCCTCTGAGGGGCCATCTTGCTGATCACCATTGTCTGAATCTGTTAAACAATGTGGTCACTAAAGATTATTATGTTTCTTTTAAGAATGAACACATTTAAAATTATGCTAGATTACACTGATTAATATAGTTATTTCATTAACACTATACATAAGGCCTGAAAGCATTCAGGTAGTGGGTTCCAAAGTCAGTACAGCTGATGTTCTAAGTCTCTATCTAAAAGAATTAGGAACATGCCAAAAAAGATTCTATCTATATTCAATGAATAGTTTATTACTTTGTTTCAGAGAAATACATTGAATGAGTCTGTTTCTTTTTTCCAATCCTGTTCTTTTTTTGGAGTTCTGTCTTTTTTCCTATGCAAATAACAAATTTAGGAAGAAGCATC